ACATTTAGAAAAGCAATTTTAGGAGAAAATTATCTTTGGTGAAGATGTCTACATGCTTTATTCAAAGCATGACCTCCCTCCTAATGTTAAATCCATAGATGAAAAAGGTCCATGTTGTGACTGAAACTGCAATTGACTCAAATTGCAGAACAGAACAGAATGCACTAAACTAAAAATTCATACTGATTCCCCTCCCTACTTACAACAATATATGTAGTGCATACACATACTTTTTTTAAACTAAGTTGTTCCAAATGTATTTTCAGAACATGTATAAATGTATGTTAGGATGATTTATGTTATGAAAATACTGATCTTGATTTATTTATTTTATTCATCCACCCATTTTCTTCCCCATCCATTCAGAGGTCAATGCTCTACCAACTGAACCACTGTCGCCTCAAGATTGATATACATTTGATGAAATATTTGGAGTAATAATGGCAGTGATGGAGTATTTGTTCATAATATCCGTATTATTCAGGTATATTATTGAGGTAGGCCATCAAATGAATGCGTCAAAACATGCTTTGAAATAACTTTTGTGAGTCTTAAGAGTTTAACTTCAAAGATTATACTTTTGGCTGATTTGCAGACGTAGTTTTGACTTCACGTATTCTACAAAATCTGAAAATGTGGACCTGCGCTTGTGCAGTATTCCACAATCCTAAACTCAATCTGAGGGCTAGACTCATCAGTATCAAGATATTCTGTGCAATGTTTAGAGGTGATCAGCGAACCTTATTGGCTGTACTAATAGTGCGTTCCAGTTGGACACAGAGGTCAGAATTTTCCGACTTGTTCATTTGGAATAATACAACCTCTGGAAACTGGGAGAAAATGTTTGTACCGGATATAGAACATCCAACATGGTGGTTTATTGTGTTTGGGGAAAGTGAAAGACCCGACAGGAGAAATATTGATGTTGTTGTGTTATTTTCTCTTTTGTCGCTGTCTACACTTCACTCCGTCTGTTAACTAGCTCATGCTCAGCTGCAGCTTCTGTAAAATGTGCACTTTTAGGCTAATGGAGATTTATTCAGTGCTAATATCAAGAAAATCAAACACTAAACTCTCTATATTGTACACCATAAACTTGAAGAGAATGACAAACGAGGCGGGGTCTGGGGTAGTGTACAGGCACAGTAGACATTTTACTGATGTTACAAAGACACGACCAAAGAATTGCTGCGTGCATGTGATTTTCATATCATGAAGGACTCCAATCAGCTCCTGCCACGGCACCAGTAGCTTCGGCCTTCAGATAACCAAAACATCCATCACTGAGTCCTGCATACTGCTAGAATGATGGGATCAACTTTAACCACAGTTGCTTCAAAAGTTTAATAAGAGATCCAAAAACCCTCCGCTAATAATAAAACTCTCTGGGTTCATTAATAAACAAAAACACTCTGCATTTTGCCAGATTGGAGCACTTCCCTATTATTCATGAGTGTATAGTTCATTTCTGCTCATTATTTTTCTGACTTT